CCCACCCCCCGCCCCGGAGCTGGGCCAGGCCCCCTCAGGGCTCCATCAGGGCTGGTCTGGAGAAATCTGGGTGGTCAGATTGCTCCTCTAAGGACTGATTGAAAGGAGTTGTCTCCGGATGGACTCTGGGGCCTGGTCCTTCAACCGACCCCTGGTCCTTCAGCAGAAGGACGGAGGGGTGGGTGGGCGGCCAGGACTGAAGCCCTGGAGTCGTCTCTGTATCCCCACGTGTTCAGCCCTGCCTGTCATCCTCCACCCATTCATTCATTCCCCCGAGACATTGCATGTACCAGGTGCAGGTGAGGAAATGGTGAACCGCAGTCTAGAAGGGCCAAAAGTGACAGGGAAACAGGAAATTACAAACCGTAATGAGTGGGGACGTAAAGGGAGAAGCCCCAGGCCTTGTTGAGCAGTGAAGAGATGCTAACCCAGGGTGAGGAGTCAGCAAAAGCAAGGAAGATGGGGAGGAGCAATTTGCAGCCTGGGGGCCCTCATACCTGGATGAACTGCTCAAACTTCTGGATGTGGGCCTTCAGCTGGGCCTCCTTGATGCCCAACTCCTCCCAGCGCAGGTTCAGGGTTTCCATTCTACGCTGAAATGTCTTGGGGTGGGGACAGCAGAGAGGTCAGGAGGGCCCCTGCACCTCCTGCCCCCAGGGCCTCTGCCCCCAGGCCTCCCACCTTCCACCCTGCACAGGACTCCTGGCTCCAGCCACTGCCACCCACAGAATGGGGGGAGGGGAGGGCGTCCTCAGGCTCCAAACCCTGTGGCCCTTCCCGCACCCTGCGGCCCTTCCCGCGCTCCACGCCCCAGTCCCCACCTCCTTTTTCTGCTCCAAGGCACGGTGCATGATCTTGGCCTCCTTCTTCTTCTCCAGGAGCCGGATGGATGGGGACTCCGACTGCTCGTCAATGTTGGGGAACTTCCTGCCAAGACACGGGGTGGGAGAGGCTGGTGGGTGCTGAGTGCCCCGGGGGCAGGCTGGGGCCGGGCCAGCCCATGGGGAGGCAAGGGGGGGTCCTGTCCCCCACGTGAGGGAAGGGAGTCATGTGTGGGGAGGGCTGTGTTGGCATCTGGGAATGGGGGGCACGGCTACAAGGGCTGGGGGTCTGGGTGGGGCGGTGGATTGGTGTCAGGGTCGGGGGCAGGTGACTTGGGGCTCAGGGTTACGGGGGGAGGGGCAGGCTGGTGTCAGGGTCAGGGGGCAGGTGACTTGGGGCTCAGGGTTACGGGGGGAGGGGCAGGCTGGTGTCAGGGTCGGGGCCAGGTGACTTGGGGCTCGGGGTTACAGGGGGTAGGGGCAGGCTGGCAGGGGGGCACGGGGGCTGTGGGAGGCCCTGGACCCGAGAGACTCACTGTAGCAGTTTTAACAGGCGCTCCCCATACTGCAGCCGGAAGTACTCGGCCAGGTCTTCCTCCTCCATGATGCCCAGACTCATGCTGCTGCTGAGTCAGGGGGCCCGGCGGCCAGGTCCTCGCAGTGAAACGGTGGCTGGGGGAGCCGCAGGTGGCCTGGGGGTGCTGGCTGGGCTCTTGCTTCTCCCTTCCTCCTGCTTTTTAGGGTCCCACGGAGGGAAAGACGGTGGGAGGCTGGTGGGTCAGCAGCTCAGGGTGCTGTGTTGGCAAATGAAGGGAGATCTGGTTACCTGGCAACAGGCCTTCTGGTTCTGTGGACCACCCACGGAACCCAGGCTTTGCTCTCTGACCCTTGTCCCCGCTGACCCCAGTCCTGCTGGAATCCTGCGTTCTGCTCCTGCATTTACCCTCCCCCCCCACCCCAGGAACTCTGGGGAGAAGTTAGGCCTGATTAGATGCTGGTGTCCAGGCCTGGGAGGCAGGGTCTGGGGGTCCATGACCTAACAGGGGGGTTCTGGTGGAGGGGTGTCCTTGGGGGTTCAGGTGCGTGTGTGAGGGTCAGAGAGGGCCTGGGGCTGGGACAGACGGCCCAGAAGAAAAGGAGGCAGGGGTGGGGGCCGGTGGGAGGGTGGGAGGAGGCCTGAGCTTGAGAACCAAGAGGTGGGCGAGGGTAGGCGGGGAGCCTGGGGACCAAAGAGGCCACCCCGGGGATGTGGAGGGGGGGCCCCCCGGGGGTGTAGCCGACTCAGGGCCAGTGCCATCAAAATATGAAGAAAAGCCACACCCTGGTACCGTGACCGTCACACACGTGTCCCTCATGAGAGCTGCCTTCCTTGATCCCGTCAGAGCACTGGGCACGAACTCACTGGGGCCCGGGGCCGGCGCCCAGACTGGAGACCCCGTGGGAGGCGGGCGCCGAGGGGTCCCGGGCGGGGGTGACGGCCGCGACCTCGAGTCCCCGCTGCGGGACACAGGCTCCCGGCTGCGCGCCGTCTCCTCTGTCCCCCGCCCGCGCCGGCCGCGGGGCTCGGCCCC